GGAGGCTCATCTGGCTGCCGTGGGCCACTTCAGCCAACAGTGATGGAGTAAGGCCTGTGACTCAGATGATGTCTTTCAGTTTTATTCTCTTCTTCAGTTAGGAACATGAAGAAACCTCAAATAGCCAAAGATGGATTTCAGAATAAATTAAAAATGTGAAAAGTTTGCCTAGTGGTTTTGCTTCCAAGTTACATCTGTTTGCAGTGTGAGACCAAAGCTTTAGATAAACTGGGTGGGTGTGGGGGATATTCAAATTTTCTGCTATTTTTTTTTCTTCAACCCAACTGTACCCTGCCACAGTAACTATCATGATCCCTTATACGCCAGTAAAAATCTGGCTTGGAAATGGTAGTATTTGCCGTTAAAGGATGAATTCACTGCTAAAAAAGATGATGTAAAATGTTATGTTTGTAACTTCACCTGAAGTAAAGAAAGATGCAAAGCAGGAAGTACCAAAAGAGCACAGTGGTCTTGTTGTTCCAGCTGGTGAATGGAAATGTAAACTCTTGAGTTTGGAAAACAAAATCCACCCCCAGAGCTGATGAGATTTACTGTGATTTTTAGCCACGGAAGCAGGTAAAGGAGCAAACATGGAAAGATGAACAGTTTCTAGAGACACACTTAGAATTTTAAAATCTTTTTTAAAAGATTTTTACGTATGTCTATGTGTCTGTATGAGTGCATGCCACTTGTGGGTGCCCCCAGAGGCCAAAAAAGAGGGTGTTGGATACACTAGAAGTGGAGTTATAGGCAGTTGATGTGGGTACTAGAAACTGAATTCAGGTTCTCTGCAAGAGCAGCCAGTATTCTCAACTACCGACCATCTCCCCCGCCCTGCTTTTAGAAGTTCAATGAATAGTTTTTGCTTTGCTAATAACTCTCCCAAAATCAGACATCAAATCCTCAGAGAGATCCGTGACTTTCTAACTGGACTCCTTAAGACGGTCAGTCTGGATCAACTTTTTAATCAAGAGATCTTTGCCACACAGGTTTCACTGTGTGGAAAGTTATAGAACAATTAAGAGGTAGAGCCTCCCCAGAGGCAGTAGGTCACTGGAGTTGGAACACATTGCTTGGTCCTCTAGAACTGGCCAAGAAAAGCCTTTGGATTGTGATTGTTTCATCTTGAATCCATGGGTCCTAATTCTTTGGACTTTAAGTTAAAATCTGATGGCTCTGCTGGAGGGTTTCGGCTCCAGGACCAGCTGTAATGAACTCTAGAGTAAGCAGGCTTAGGTTCACTGAATAAGACTTTAACTTGGGAGAGCCAGTTCAGATGGAGACAACCCTTGGGAGAGACATAAGCCATGAAATAATTGTAGATACTGACTGGACTATATGTAGATGGCCAAGGAAGAGGCTTTACCTTTGGATTGGACCACCTGAAATGGAGCCACCCACTGCCTGTCTCTACATTTCTGAGGTAGAGACCAGTGACCTCTACCAGAGGCTCCACCTCCCAGTGACTGTGCCCTCCCCACCACTCCTAGTAGACTGGAATCTAATTCCAGGAATATGTGATTTCTATAGCATATGTGACCATTAGATGAGTTTTGTTGCATGTTTCGATGGCCTCCCTCTATTATCCTTTTCTTCAGTTCACATAGCTTTGGTGGCAGTTTGATAATCAAACGCAGAAGTTGGGGGGTGGGGGACTGATCTTTTCTAGGCTACTCACTAGATGTGATCAGCACAAGGCAGTGGGAATTTATGCCAACTGGGTTTCAAGCTTTCTAAAAATGCAGGACTCTACCCTGACCGATGGTTGAACATGACATGCCTCCCAGCTTAAGTGGAAGGGAAGTGCCGGTCCCCCACCCCACCCCCTTATGCACACATATGTAAACACTTGGTCCTAAGCAGGTTTCACTGTGTGGAAAGTTATAGAACAATTAAGAGGTAGAGCCTCCCCAGAGGCAGTGGGTCACTGGAGGCAAGTTTCAAAGCTTTATTGCCCAGTTCTGCTTCCTGGCCACTCTCTGGTCCTGACTGGGGATGGAATGTGATTGGCTGGACTCCTACCTGGTTCACTTCTTCCCTGTCACAGGGGGATGATTCCCAGGAAACATAAGCTAGGATAAGCCCTCTCTTCCTTCACTGCTACGTGTTATGAATTTGGCCGTAACAATGAGAAAAGTAACTAAACAGAAAACTGGAAACAAGAAGTTGGGCTGTTGTTATAATAAACCTAACCATATGGCTCTTTGGCATTTGGAACCAATTTATGGGAAGAATATGGAAGAGTTTGCAGATGTGGGCTAGAAAATAGTGTAGCTGGAACTTAAACATTCCGCTAGAAGTGTGGAAGGTTAGAATCCCAAGAAAAATGTCTACAGTGGCAGCCTGACTTATGAGGTTTCAGGGAACAAGAACTCTATGAGAAATTGAGCTAAAGATCAATTTTACTAATTGTTTTTCCTACTGCTGAGATAAAATATTGACAAAATCAACTTAAAGGAGAAATAGTTTATTCCTGTGCATGGTGGTCAAGAGCTGCATTTCCCATTCAAACAGTCACATAGAACTTAAGCTGTAAGGATGAACATGATGTTCAACCATCAGTCAGGACAGCCTGAGGACGAGGTCTGTCATGACAGGAAGGTCCTGACGGTGTGAGCTTAAGGCAGCTGATCTTTGATCAACAGTCGGGAAATAGTGAGTTAATTTTCTCAGCTCACTTGTGCCATGTAACAGATTACAAAACTAACACCTAGTGTCTTACCTATGCCAAAGGAGATGATCAGATGATTATAAAGCTTCAGCTCAGGATGAGATCAACATGGAAACAAGCTGATAGCACTGGAGAGAGATGCTCGGTCTCAGCACGCATCTGGGACAACTCACTATTGCCTGTATCTCCAGTTCCAGGTGATCCAAAATCCACTCTGGCCTTCATGGGCACAAGGCAAGTATAAGACACACACACACACACACACACACACAGACATGCTGTATTAGCTACTTGAGCTTCACAGTGAACAAAATGCCTGACATAGGCAACTTAAGGGAGGGTTTTTCTGGCTCACGGGAGGCTGGAAGTTGATAGAAACAGTATGCCCACAATGTCCACTGTTAGGGACCTACTCCCTCCAATGAGGACTTTGAACTCACCACATTCCATAATGAAAGGAGACAATTTCTGACACAACATCCCCTAAGTTTCTAGAGCTTTCAAAATAGTGCCACCAGCTGGGACAAAGCGTCCAAGACATGACCCTGTGAGGGATACTTCCGATTCAAACCATAACCCATGCTTACAGGTAAACAAGTGAGGTTGGATGTGGGCTGTGGTTTTGTGGGCTTTCTTTGCTTCAGTAATGTCCCTAGGTCAGCTCCTTGTCCCTTTCCAGTGCTTCCATCCCTAAACTCCTCGATCACCGTACTCCACACACAAGATACTGTTTCTCAACACATCTGGTGTGCGTCTTGCTATCTTATATGTCCCACCACCCACTTCCTCGACTGCTCACCTCTCAGTGTCCTGGGAGTTCAGAGTGTGGCATATGTTTAGCCTGACTAACCTCTGAAAGAGTGGGACCAGAGACAAGCTACGGGGCAGCAGGCACTAACAGCCACACTTTACCTATCTCACAATTTCACACAGGCCATTCTGGTATACTTTGAAATGTGTGAAAATCTATTTAAAATTTTACAAAGCCACTGTACTTGAAGAGCTTACTATTCTAGTCATATATGGGAAGATAGGCGCTTAAATGCTAGATGGTTCTTTGAACTATATACCCTCATGGAGGCCCTTGTATATTGTACTACGACCAATAGCAAATTTGTGATGAATGGTAACTAGTTCCCTATGTCTACTGCAACGTCATCAAAGAAGCAGACTTACATTAAAAGAGAGTAGCTGGAAAGTAGCATTTATTGCTTTGTTGTTCAAACTTAACCTTGGATTTTGAAGATAAGCAATCAATATAGAAAATCCCAGCAGGGCCGGGGGTTGGTGGAGCACGCCTTTAATCCCAGCACTGGGGAGGCAGAGGCAGGCGGGTCTCTCTGAGGTCAAGGGCAGCCTGGGCTCCAGAACGAGTACCAGGACAGCTAGAGCTGTTACACATAGAATTCCTGTCTCAAAAAACAAAACGAAAGAAAGAAAAAAAAAGAGATAGAAACGAAAAGAAATGCAGGAAGGAAGAAAGAAAGAAAGAAAGAAAGAAAGAAAGAAAAAAAGAAAATCCCAGCAGCCAGCAGGTCTCTATGCTGATTAATTTTATACATCAACCTAGCTGAGCCAGGGCTCAGATATTTGGATAAACACTATTATGGATGTAATTTACATTTAAGTTGGTAGACTTTGAGCAAATCACATTGTCTTCAATAGTACTCAATTGAAAACCTGACTACTACAAAAGACAGACTTGCCCTGCCTGCACAAGGATTCTCTGGCTTATTTTCGCAGTTCATTTACAACACAGACTCTTTCTGGTCCCAAAGGAGTCTACCTTTGAACTTGAACTATATAATCTTGGGTCTACAGTCACCAGGCTCTACAGAACCACGCTCCGCCCCTTGCCACGTGTCCACGCCCCCAACTGGCTGAGGGGCGGAGCCATCCAACCAATCACCTTTCTCCCGGGCCCTCCTCCCGCGCGTCTTTCAAAGACTTCCTTCGAACCAATGAGCAGTTAAAGGTTGAGCCATGGCGCTGAGTAAGAAACAGAGCGAGGATATGATTGGCTGTTAGAGGGCGCCGCGCCACCTCCCACGTGGATGAACCAATGAGCTGACGGGGTACGGAATCGGCGCGGGCTGCGACGCCGATGCTGCGAGGGCGGCCGGCCGCACTGGTTACGGCCTGCCGCGGCCCGCGATGAAGCCGGTGAGTGGGGCCTGCGGGGACCCGAAGGAGCCGCGCCGCAGGGCCACAGGCGCTGGCCGGCTTCTGCTGCGTGGCTGGGCGGGCAGCGGTGCGACTCGCAGTGTAACCGCTCTGCGCGTCGGGGAGGTGGAGAGGGGGGGAGCAGGAGCACTGCGGTTCGCTGACCGCCTGCGGGGGGTCACGACATTCCTACCAGATTGGGCCAACCCAGTAGGCTTGATACCTCAGATGCAAAGACTGTCACAACCCGGTTTGTGGGTGACTTGGTACCTCTGATGCAAAGGCTGTCACGACCCCGTTTGTGGGTGACATCACGATCGCCACCCTCCCTCAGGGTCCTCTTGGCACTGCATCCTATTCCTTGCAGGTCAGAATTCCTGGGCATGGTAAAGCAGGTACGTCTAACATGTTGGGATTTATCCACACCTGACTGGGAGGGGTGGAGTGAATGAGCCACACAAGCTTAAAATCCTCTATGGGGTGTCCTAGCCAGAAGTTGAAGCCCCACCTGACCCATAGTTCCTACCTCATAGGTGACAACTTACTTAAAAGGCTTCATGAAACCCCAGTCCATAGCCTAAGTCAGTTGTCATGCTCTCCTCTGACAAAGACTTTATAGAAGAGCTCGAAAGCCAAGCAGCCCATCAAGTTGTTAGTCTTGTGAGTCCCGTGTCCACAAGAAGATGTCAGCTGTCCTTCACTCCTGCCTTCTGACTCCACTGCCCCCAGAGAAGAGGAATAAGCTATCTGATCTCTGACTACAGGGGAACTGAATACAAGTAGCGAGGCCTCTCTTTCACCCCCTCTGGATGTCTGCCTGCTTTCTGGTCTGCTCTCTCTAGCATGCAGAAGTGATTCCCATGATGTGGGGATCACTCAGCCACAGCATTCTCCTTTTGCCACCTAATAAAACTCACCTTTTTGTATACACTTGCTGTTCAAATGTCTGATCTCCAGTGGTTCCAGTTAAGGAGTGGGAAAGGGTATGTTTTTCTTCCATATAGAAGTTCTGCATCCAGAATTGAGCTACACCTGCTGAGATTAGCATATAAGGTCCATCTGGATTCTTCTAATCCAGTAATTCATAAAGATGAGGGGAAGCTAGTTCACATATGTCCACCCATTTGCTAGGCTGTATGGGATTATTTTTTTAGAAAGAGGTAAGCAAATTTTCCACTGGCTTTAGTCTTTTCTGAGTCAACTCTACAGAATATACAATCCTCCACCCACATGCTCTCTTGTGTTTTGAGTCAGCCTGGCCATGAAGAACTTGTGCCTCAGTGTCCCTAATGCTGACATCAAAGGCTTGCACCATCGTAACCTGGCTCAGCTCTCGAATTTTCACACTGATTGCTTTCTCTTCCCTGTCGATCTAGAAACCCACGATTTCTTCAAAGCTTAGCGTGATGGTGTCTGTGAAACCCTTTGCTGCTCCTTAGATGGCTAGTCATTCCCTCAGTGCTGCAGCACATGGTTTCTACTTTAGCACTTTCACCATTCTGTAATCTTGCACACTGCTGTCTCTTCAGCTATGCTATAGCTAGACAGTGTATCACAGGGTCTTCTGGTCTCCAGAGCGTGCCAGTAGAAGGTCCAAGATATGTTTGAAAAGGAATGGGCAACTCACACTTCAGAGTTGAGAAAACTGATCCAGGATGAACTCAAGTGCCTTGTTTGAGATTATCAAGGACCAATTCCAGGAGCCAGAAGTTCTTTTGATCTAAATCTAATTCTGCCCACTGTACAGTGCCATGATTAATCAAGTGGTCAACAGTAATCATTTATTATTGATATTGCTGGTCTCTCTGATAGTCCAGATTAATGACTGCGTGTTTAATCATGGATTGGCTATGTGAAAATCATTTGCAAATATTCCTTGCAGTAATTTAATATAACATTTCTTTTGAAGCCCATTTCAATACAAGCAAGTGAGTTTGATTCTTCAGATGAAGAGCCTATTGAAGATGAACAGACACCAATTCAAATTTCATGGTATGTTAGCATTTCAGTGGTAAGCTACAGTGTTTGATGGTACATCATATTTGGGGAAGATAATGCATGTAATTAGAAATAATAAGCATTTGCTGGGTGGTGGCACACGCCTTTAATCCCAGCACTTGGGAGGCAGAGACAGGCAGAGCTCTTTGAGTTCGAGGTCAGCCTGGTCTACAGAGTGAGTTCCAGGACAGGCTCCTGACAAACCCTGTCTTGAGAAACTAAAAAAGAAAATAACAAGTATCCTTTTGTGTCAACTCTAGAATCTTAGTCTTGACATTTCCTTACTCCATTATTTATTTACTGTCTGATATGAAATAAAACCCACACATTCCCTCCTTTAGACACTGGGTTGGGTGGGGGCACCTTTGTAGAACAAATAAGAAGTAGAGGAAGATTTTGAAATGATTTCCCACCAAAATTTATGTATTCTTTAGGAAACCATTAGAATATCAAAATAGGGTATTTAATAATTTTTCATTAAGTCCTATTTAATACACAGAACTATTTGCTATGGTGATCGGCAGATCATTGAAGATAAAAGCCATATCACTATAACTGCATTTCTTCCTGTGACAGACCACCTGACATCCACAAGTTAAGGGAGAAAGCGTTCATTTTAGCCCATCATTTCAGAGGTTTCCAATCATTGTTGCAGGGGGAGGGTGCATGGAAGGACAGAGGACTTTAGACCCTGGCTGCCAGGAAGCAGAGTAGAACAGTAACATGAAGGGGCCAGGGAGAGACATGCGCCCAATGGCAGCTTTCTAGTCAGCCGCGCCCCCTCCTCCATCCACCTTTCAGTAGTACATTTAGATTTTAAATTCAGCAAGGGACTAAGCCATTCTTAGGACCTCCAGGTCTCAACGTCTCTGGAAATATCCACAAGTGTACCTTACCTATCCGTTAGGTAGTTCTTAATCCAGCCAGGCAGATCAACATCGACCATCATAATCAAAAAGTTTTTCTGCCAATCAATTCCCAAGGCTTGGCATGAGGACTTATGGTTGTGCCAGGGTCTCTACAACCAGCAACCAAATGGTTTCTCTCATCGCCATAAAGCCGGTACTCTCCCTGGGACATGGCTTAGTGATACAGCACTTGGCTATCATGGACCAACCCTGCGTTCAAGCCCCAGCACTGAAAATAAAAGTTCTGACTTCCAGGAACACTTGAGAATTAAGTATTGTCTCAAAAGGACTTTTATTCTGTAAAAAAATAAACGTTATTTTCATTCCCCTACCAGCTCCTTTTTAAACTCAAAATTTCATCTAATTTTCCATCTCAGCTGTTATTTCTATGATGCCTCCAGCTTTTCTCCTGACTCAGAGACAGGGGACTTCTGTCCCTGGGTATTGTAAACCAGGACCATGAGTTCTAGAAACATTTTCAATTTTAATCAAAACTAATGATGAATGGTATCCTGTTTTCTTTGTATAAAATTATATCTGTAAGACAGTTTTACCAAAAAACCTTAACATTGCAAAATTAACATAAAATGGAATTTTCCAGTTCATTCAACTAAGGGTCCTACTGACTAAGCACCTGTGATTTGAAATCTTAAATAGTCCAAATCCACAACTTTTTGAGAATCACACTGGTACTTGAAAAGAATTTTTATTCTGAGCATTTTGAATTTTAGATATTTGGATTATTCCGGAATGCTCAGTTGGTCAAGTCTATGCAAGTCATTCTAGAAACACTATATCCTCTGCTCTGGAAAACATCTGGTGCCAAGCATTCAGGATGCCTACCACAGGGTCACTAGCTCTACCAGTAGGGGATTCAGGGAGCATTACCTTTATGGCAAACTAAATTTAACTTGCTCTTTTCTTTTGGGTTTTTTTTGTTGTTGTTGTTTGGTTGGTTGGTTTTTTGTTTTTTGGGGTTTTTTTGGGGATTTTTTGAGACAGGGTTTCTCTGTGGCTTTGGAGGCTGTCCTAGAACTAGCTCTTGTAGACCAGGCTGGTCTCGAACTCACAGAGATCCGCCTGCCTCTGCCTCCCAAGTTCTGGGATTAAAGGCATGTGCCACCACCACCCAGCTAACTTTCTCTTTTAAGACACAAATGGCATTAAAGCAAGTAGATTCCCCTTTCTAAACTTTCAGTCATTCTAGGCCTTTCTTGTTCTCTACCTGATTACCTATGAAATGGTGTTTTGCAACCTCTGTAAAATGTTAAAACACCCTCACTCTGTGGCAGACACTCTTGTTGAGTAGGCTAAATTTCCATTTCTAGCTTTTTAGAAGTTAAGCTTGGTAAATTTTTCTTCACAGGCTACCACTGTCACGAGTGAACTGTTCTCAGTTTCTCGGTTTATGTGCTCTTCCAGGTAAGTAAGAACACTCAGTTGGCTTCTTAATGATACAAGAGCAGACTCTTGTGAGCTGAGAAGTTGTTCAGTGCAGTCCACAATATATCTCATAGACCGGCGCTGGGCAGCTTGTCTTCTGAAAGCCTTCAGGATCACCCTCCATACCCAGGGCAGTATTTCTGACTGACCTAGTTCAGTGAGACTTAAAGCCCAGGTACAAATGAAGTTAAGACTGTGGCCAGGAGCTCCTGCATCAGGACTTCTGTCAGTGGAATTTATCAATGTCTACAGCTGTGCTTCTGAGACTCAAAGAAATTAATATGTACATTTAAAGTGGACTTGAAACATTAATAGCCATGTGAAATTACTTTCTATAGTAGCTTGTGTGTATCAAATGTGACTTATATAGCCCCAAAGTGATTTTTTTTTTACTTGTCTTATCTGTAGGTTGTAAATTTAAAGATGTTAGAAGAAATATTCAAAAAGATACAGGTAGGTTCACTATGAGAAAAGCCTACTACTGGTTTGTTTTAAGCCTGAAAATACGTCAAACTTTTCTCGATATATAAAATACATTTTTATGACATTTCTACCTATGAACTTCTTGCATGTGAAGAGGTGTTTGTGATGGGCCCAAGGACTCATCATTTATCTGAACATACTTTGTTTTTCACAATTCTGGTTACACACATAAACTGGGTCTGATGTTAGAATGTGTCCGTTCAGCAGGGTGGTGGTGGTGCACACCTTTAGTTCGAGCACTGGGGAGATAGAGGCAGGCTGATCTCTGTGAGTTCAAGACCAGCCTGGTCTACAAGAGCTAGTTCTAGGACAGCCTCCAAAGCCACAGAGAAACCCTGTCTCCAAAAAAAAAAAAAAAAAGTGTCCGTTCAAGGGAGAAAAGTAGGTAAATATTAAACTGGCATACTGCAGTGCTGAAACAAACTGTTCCTTGCAGCCTTGACTGTGGTAGTATAAATTAAGCCTGAGCTGGGAGCCTCCCGGGTAGCGTAAAGTTTTTCACCCCTGGTCAGAACAAAGCTAGCATGCTCATGCCACTGCAGTCTCCACTCTCTAGTCATAATCCCAACATTCTACCTGCATAGTATATGACAATGACAAATGTGAAATTTCACAATATTTTATACTGATTGGGCTGGAATATTATAACCTACTTAAACACCAAGAGCCTTATCACACAGAAAATAAGTATCTACAATCTGTTTGACTCTAACTTGTCATGGTAGGTTAATGTTCTGAGTGTTGGTTAATGTACTTTATTTCTTACCTATCAAAAAGATGAGAAGAAAGTCAGGCACGGTGGCACACTCCTTTAATCCCAGCACAGAGGCAGACTGATCTCTGTGTGTTCGAGGCCACCATGATCTACATAGCGAGTTCCAGGACAGCCACAGAAGGATGAGAAGAGACTAATACTTGAATTGACCCTTGTGGTATTTATAAACATGTTCTGCTTTAGGTATATATACAACAGTAGGAAATAACTTTTATGTTCTATTTGGATGACATAAGCAAATGCTATTTAAATCATTGGTTCAAAACTAATATACATTTTGGGGTTTCTTATTTATTTAGTGGCTGTTATAGGAGGAAGATTCTAGTTTTTTCATTAGCTTTTTTTTTTTTTTTTTTAAACAATGAGATCACACACAGAATCCACTATATAGAACAGATCAAAAACACTTGGTGTGAGACCTAGGACTTCCCATGGTGTGTCCTCTCTGGGAACATCTGAAGGTTACCATATTTTAAAATGTGTCCAGTGTTTGTGGAAGACAAATAGCAAATTTTCCCCTCTTCTGGAAGCTTTATTAAATATGTTTAAATCATTTTACACTTGTAAAAAATATAATAGTTTTATCAAGATCAGACTATCTAAGTGGAGCATGATGGTACATGTCTATAATTCCAGCACTTAGCAAGTGAGGCAGGAGGATGTCATGTTTCAGGCACTCTTAGATTATACCAAAAGACCCTGGCTTAAAGAACAAAAACAACTACTGTCCAACAGAAATGCAGTCATAGCCACAAATGGAAGCTGTGTATGTAACGATAATTTTTAGTTGCCACATTTAAAAAGTGAAAACATAACCAATGGGTAATGGTGGCACACGCCTTTATTCCCAGCACTTGGGAGGCAGAGGCAGGCGGATCTCTGTGAGATGAGGCCAGTCTGGTCTACAGAGTGAGTTCCAGGACAGCCAGAGCTGTTACATAGAGAAACTCTGTCTCTTAAAACAAAAAACCAAAACAGTTAAAACATGCAAAATCAATTTCAATAATTTAATATATCCTAAGCATCATCATATAATCAGCCTAAGTAGAAAGCAAATTATCATTTTTTATCTTATTTTTTAGTGTACAAACTAATGGGGTTTATTACAACACCATTATATTTGCTCATATTCACCTCACCATCCTACCTTCCTCCCTCCAGGTAGTCCCTCTCTGATTTCATGTCTGATTAAATATGTGTAGATTTAAAATATAGGTTGCACATATGAGACAAGACATATAACCTTTTTCTTCCCTCCACATTCCCCTTTCCTCCTTCTCCTTTCTTTCCTTCCCCATATAATCTGTTCTATTTTCCTATTTATATGTGTTATATATACACTAGAGATATCATACACACACACACACACACACACACACACACACACACACACACACACAGACAGTATCTCCACACGAGGAAGTATGAATCAAGCAAATTATTAGTAAAATCATTTCTATCTTTAGTCTCTTTCTCTTTAAAAATAGGTGCATGTTTTACATTTCAACTGCAAAGGCTTTCTACTTGGATAGATAAATGTTCACAGGTTGGGGCTCAGAATTATTTGTTTTGAACTGAATAATTCAGAGTGAATATTGCCACAAAGAAAGTCCAGAAGCTAGAGAGATGGCTCAGTGGTTCAGTTCCCAAATTCAGTTCCCAAAACCCACATGGGGTGGCTTTTTAACCACCTGTAACCCCAGCTCCTGGAGATCTATCGCCCTCTTTTGGCCCCCACAGGTACCTGCACATATGTGCACATACCTCTACACAAACATACAGATAGTTTAAAAAGAAAAAAAAAATTAAGTTCTAGCATAAATTCCTAAAGAAATATTTCTTGGTTTACACCACTAAAATGAGGAGCTAAACCATGTAAGGTTAATGCAGTTAATGCCCTATTTTCTCAAGACCTGCTCTATAAAGTAAATCCACTTTGGTGTAGTTCAGTGCAGAACAGAGGAAGAATACAGGAGCTTCAGCTGAAGAAAATGTATGCTTGCCCATAATAATGGGCAGAATGAGAGTGCACATAGCTATTTCATGGGAAAAAAAACAAACTTAAAAAGTGCTATCATTCCATCTCAAGTTTAAATACTAATTATTAAAGGCAGTATTTTCTGCAAGGAAAAAACCCCAAGTTTTTCTGCTGTATCAATACAATCATCCTATCTTGAAATTCATTCAAAAGCATTTTACTTATAAATCAATCTGGTTTAATTCTAATCAGCTTTTGGTTCAGGTATTTTGATCAGATATTTCAGATTTACAAATTCTCACCTGTTATTAATTTGGTTGAAAACGTAACTCCATATTCTGTCTCTTTAAACATGTCCTGTTTTATGTGTGCGTCTGTGTGTGTCTTGGTCTGTTGGCAGAGGAACTAAAGAGCTACGGGATCCAAGATGTATTTGTTTTCTGCACCAGAGGGGAGCTGTCAAAATATAGAGTCCCAAACCTTCTGGACCTCTACCAACAGTCTGGAATTGTCACCCATCACCACCCAATCCCAGATGGAGGGACCCCTGACATTGGCAGCTGCTGGCAAATCATGGAGGAGCTGGCCACCTGTCTCAAAAACAACCGAAAAACCCTGATACAGTATGTTCTTCTTTCTCTGAACACCACACAAGCAATATGCCAGTCAAGATGACTCCTTGCCCTGGTCAGCCATGACCTTCCTCCTTCTGTCAGGACTTCCTCCTCCTAAAGCATGGAAAGTGCTAGCACAGGGCTTAGTGCAGAGGAAGCACTCAGGATACATCAGTTTGAGATAGATGGTTATTGTGTGGTTGGCACTTGGTCCAGAACCACTCAGATTTTACCTAAAAGACAGCCTTGATTCCATTTCTCAGATGTAGGCCTTAGGGTTCAGTAGTCACTGAGGCAGCCTTCTTTGGCCCTTATAGGAATTCAGAATACATCCCAGCATGAATGAGCATGCACTGCTTTGGGGTGATGATTAACTCAGCAATGCTACTGTTTGCAAGGTGATGTGCTGGGTGTTGGAGAGGCCACAGTAGGCAGAGTGGAGTAAGTCCTGGGCTGTAACTTGGGATAGAATGAAAATGGACACACTTCAAAACTCTCTTTCCTTTTCAGCTGTTATGGAGGACTTGGAAGATCTTGTCTTGGTAAGAAATATATTTCCATTAACTGTTTAACTTTGAAGTAGGCAAACTCCTTTTTGGGAACCTTATCTCACTTTAAAGGAAAGAAGGCACAATATAAGTTTACCAAGACTCAGTGATTGAGTAAAGCCTAAAACTTGGTTTTTCCTGGAAATCCTGGATGGGCATGACAGCTGTTCTCAGCTGGCTTAGGTGGATCACTTCCACCTAAGCACCTGTGTCTTGGTTTTTTTCTAATGTTCTTTCCATGGAAAAGTGTTAGGATACTGACAGCAAATGCTAAGAAATATCTGAGTGATCTAAGTATAAAAATCACAGCATTCCAAAGATAGAGGTAAGAGAATCAGGAATTCAAGGTCATCCTTGGCTGTATGGTATGTTCAAGGTCAAGCTCGTCTACAGTGAGACTCTGCCTCAAAAAAAAAAAAAAAAAAAAAAAAAACCCCCAAAAAAAAAAAAAAAAAAAAAAAAAAACACCCCAAAGAAATATGAAACAACAGCAACAAAGTATAGTTACTTACTGTGTACTTTTTTTAATTCATTCATTTTTATGTATATGATTGCTCTACCTGCATGCATGCCTTTATGCCAGAAGAGGGCATCAGATCCCACTAGAAATGGTTGTGAACCACCATGTGGTTGCTGGGAATTGAACTCAGGACCTCTGGAAGAGCAGCTGTGGTGATACATTGTTTATGATTTAATAAAGCTTGCTTGAGGAGTCAGAATGAAAAGCTAGCCACAAGCCACAGAGCCAGGCAGTGGTGATATAATCCCAGGACTCGGAGGACAGAGACAGACGGATCTCTGTGAGTGCAAGGCCACACTGAGCTACACCAAACTGATACATTCTAAAAGAGAAACAGCTCACACAAAGGTGATCTCAGCACTTGGTATCATATGCCTTTAGTTCCAACACTTGGGAGGCAGAGGCAGGCAGATCACTGTGAGTCCAAGACCACCATGGGCTACACAAGATTGAATCAGAGCTCATACCTTTAATCCCAGGATTTGAGAGCAAGGAGCAAGGGGTTTCATGTGAGATTTAGTTTTCAGACAGGGAAGGCTTGGTGGACAGCAGTGCTTCAGCATTGAACTCTGAGGACAGGACAGCCCTTTCAGCCTGAGATAGAGGTAAGAGATAGTAGCCAGTGGCTTTGCTTTTCTGATCATCTGCTTGAACCCCAATATCTGTCTCTGGGTTTTTATTAATCATGTTAAAAGCAGCCAGTGCTCTTAACCACTGAGCCATCTCTCCAGCCCATGTATTAATTTTAAAGTATGCTGGCAAAAAATGTTGGGAAATGCCGCCTCACTGTAGTAAGTTATTTTTACTGTAAAACAGGATAAACAAGATCCAAATTAACAACCTTTGTTTATGAAAGGATACTGTCAAAATGAAAAGACTGTACATAGAATGGGGGGGGGGTCTTGCACAGCATGTATTTGGTAAGGGAATAAATCTAGAATATATAAAGTACTCCGTATCGATAGACCAACATAGCAAATAAACAGTGAGCAAAGGATCTGAGTTAAGTTACCCAAAATACACACAGCCAAAAAGCACGGGGAAAAAGATGCCCAGCAATGTCAGCCAGCTATGGCTGTGACGTTTAAAAATGGAGAGTCAGTGAGCACTCTGACAAACAGGGACTTGGCCCTACTGTTGGGGATGTATTGTTTCTCAGCCACAGAAACATGGGGTTACTATGACTCACAACTCTACTCCCAGCTCCATACACAGCAAGGAGAAACGGAACCGACGTTCACTAGTAACATGTAAGCCAATGTTTGCAGGAGCAAAGAAGTTAGTGCGAACCATGTTAAACTCTAAGATCAGGTTGACTCTCAAGAGTGCAGTCTAAAGGGTGTGTCTTTTAGTCCACGGGCAGCAATCACACTGAACAGAGTTTGCTGTGGCCACAGAAGTCTAATTGATTATCTAGTCTTTTTATAACAAAATCAGGCCAGTTTTTGTAACAATCTATTCTTTTTCTGTCATGTTCTCAGTAGCTGCTTGTCTCCTCCTATACTTGTCTGACTCAGTATCACCACAGCAAGCCATAGACAGCCTTCGAGATCTCAGGGGGTCTGGAGCCATACAGACCATCAAGGTAAGAACTATTGTTCCTGTCTGCTGCAGCAGCCGCCCCTTTCAAATACAGTGTGACGTGTGACAAAAAGGAGTCCAAAAAGGCCTTGAGCTGAAATGCCAAAGCCATGAGGCACATATGCGGGCTTATCTTTTACATTTACATTTAAATATAACCCAGGTATCTGCACAAAACACTGAATTTTGAACAAAATAATGAAAATATTAAACTTTGCGCTTCACTCTCTTGAGAGATCTGGGAAGCTGTCTTGGTCAGTTCTGGGTCTTATGCTCATTCTCTACCAGGAAATGGCTACTGTAAACATTCATTTTGTTGGTAAACTTGCAGCTCAAGCAATCTAAAGATCCTACTGTGCCACTGAATCATTGATGAGTGGTATCAAAACTGCACAACAGCACCATCTGATCTGTCATATCCTGTGTGTTGCTGCTGCCTTATGTTGAAGTGTTCAGGAGAATGGAAGCTTGTGATATCCATGGCGATGGACAATATAAAATAAGCACTGTTATGCAGTTTTGATATACAGTAGGGGGAAAAAAACACGAGCAAAAAGTAGGTCCTTCCACACTGGACAGCAGATTCCCTTTAAATCTTAGTCCCGGCAGCAAAGGAAGCATTCTACAGACTTATAAAACCCTCTTGTGAAATCCATGCTGCCTTTTAGCAAAGGCAGCTTCTTTACCCAACCTCACCTCTGACCCTGCCCCTCCCGCCTCCTGGCCTGGCCAGCACCTCCTCCTCCCATTCTTAACAAGTATGGGGGTCTACTCTGATCCTATTTTTCCGCAGCATATTTCAACATATCTTTACTTTTTTTTTTCTTAGCAATATAATTATCTCCATGAGTTCCGGGATAAATTAGCTGCATATCTATCATCAAGAGATTCACTATCAAGATCTGTCTCGAGATAATGAAGATGTCTGATATAAGACTACACGTGAAGTTTCCAAGTTCTCTGGCATAATTTGTATTGAAACAAAACTACTAGTGCTACCATCCTGAATATAAATGTTATGTGCAGATACTGCGAAAGCTTTGAGTCATGAATTCACTGTTGCAGCGCAGCAGAGGGCAGCAGAGTTGGCAGACAGTTGTCTTTCTAGAAATGCACTAGCTGTTTCGAGACAGGGTCTCTCTGTGGCTTTGGAGGCTGTCCTGAACTAGCTCTCTGTGGCTTTGGAGGCTGTCCTGGAACTAGCTCTTGTAGACCAGGCTGGTCTCGAACTCACAGAGATCCGCCTGCCTCTGCCTCCCGAGTGCTGGGATTAAAGGCGTGCGCCACCACCGCCCGGCTACCTACACCATCTTTAACGCGTGTGTTTGTGTGGGAATAATCACGACAGCATGAATGTGGAGGTCAAGGGACAATGTGCAGAAGTGAGTTCTCTTCTTCCTTCACATGGGTTCCAGGATCAAATTCAGACCATCAGGATTGGCGGCAAGTGCTTTTATTCACTGAGTTATCTCTCATTTTAAAAACCTTTTTTGTCCCTCCTCAATTTTTTTTCTACTTCACTGCTGGCAGAATTAATAAGGCACTCTGAGTTTAGAGTCAACTCCTTCCCAGAGCACCAGCACACCCCACCAACATGGGAACAGCCTAGTGCTTCTTTGCACAACTAAGAGTTTCTTTTAATTTTTTGAGACAGGCTCTTACTATGTAGGCCAGGTTGGTCTCAAACTCACAGAGATTCACCTGCTTCTGCCTCGCCAGTGCTGGGAGTAAAGGCGTGCGCCACCACTCAACCAGCTTCTAAAACATAAGATTCTTACAAAAGTACTGAGAAAGGCTGGGCATTGGTGGCCTTTAATCCCAGCACTTGGGAGGCAGAGACAGGTGGATCTCTGTGAGTTCGAGGCCAGCCTGGTCTACAGAGTGAGTTCCAAGACAGCTTCCAAAGCAAAACAGAGAAATCCTGTTTTGAACCCCCCCCCCAAAAAAAAAATACTGAGAAGGATGAATCATATACCACTAATATCAAATGTATAATCCAGGGACTTTAAAAAACACTCTCTCTCTCTCTCTCTCTCTCTCTCTCTCTCTCTCTCTCTCTCTCTCTCTCTCTCTCTCTCTCTCTGCTGCAATTAACAATTTAACAACCAATTCTGGTATTAAAGTCACAGTACCTGAAAGTTTTAGGCAGTCACTAGAATTGACATTAGTAAATCTCTTTGTGTGGGCATGCATGTGGAGAACAGTTTCCTCAGGACCTGTCCGTGAGCCCCAGGACTTTCCTGTCTCATCATCACAGCACTGGGAACTGGGATTACAAGTATACACCAGATTCTTGAGTGGGTATTGAGGACCAAGCACAGGTTCTCATGCTCACAGGGCAAGCACTATTAACAGGACTACCTCCACAGCCACCTCCACTGCCGCCCACCTTCAGTCAATCCCCTCCAATATAAAGCTTATTCTGAGTATTCAGTAGAGGAAAAACACTTCATATTCAAAAACAATCAACTGAGTGTTCAAAGTATGTACCTCTCAGTTCCCATTGCAAGTGCTTGCCTAACCATTTTAACACCAAGCATACAGGAACAATTATTCACAACGAGGAAACATGAGTATTAGTCCTGAAATATACTTGTGTAGTGATGTTAAAAATCATGCAATGCCAGCTGAGCGGTGGTGGTGCTCATCTTTAATCCCAGCACTCAGGAAGCAAAGACAGGCGGATCTCAGTGAGTTCAAGGCCAGTGTAGTCTACAAAGTGAGTTCCAGGACAGCCAAAACTGTTACACAAGAAACCCTGTTTTGAAAAACAAAAAAGTGCAATGCCAACATTCTAGGGAAAGTTATTTTCTCTGCCCCAAGTATATGATCTAACGATCTATCTAAAAGCAATGGGGCACAAAGGCAGACAATCTAGGCTTCTGGTCTTGTGCATGCCAAAGCTAGCTGCATTTGAAATCAGCACAGGATTACACCAACTCAACCATTACCCATCCACTACACAAGGAGCATTTGAGACAGTTTTTATTAAATATACAAAAGCAAAACAAGCTCAAAGGACTAAGGGAGGGCTACATGGTAAGTTTTCTTTAGACAGTGGTACAACACCATCAAGCATAGGCTTTAACAAACCAGGAACTACATGGCTAACTACATTTCATGTTTTTCTTAGTTTTAGGATCTACTCAGTCATCAATCCATTGAAGAAACTCTCATTCCCAGAATACATAAGCATAACCAAACAAATTTAAGTATTGAGAAAAAGTACAGTATAATAGTAATACTGACATCTAGGAGATACCATTCTGCATGTCAAGACGCTCATGTCTTCTACAATGAGTATCAAGAAAATGAATGCAGAGCAAAACCCTCCCTCTACCTCAGACTCACCACCTGGTGGTTAGTATTACTTTCCAAAGTAAACAGAATAGGCAGCTGTTACACACTCCTTTCAGACACTAACTAGAGATTTCTGAATGTTCCACAGCAAACAGCTCTAAGAAACAAGTCAACAAATTTAGCGACAGAACACCTTTTTCTCTAGGAATCACCATGGAAGACTCGTTCAGAACTATCTCCTAGGTTACACTGCTAATATCAAACACATTAACTGCTCAAATGGTCCCAAATCAACTGGTTACAGTAAAAGAGCTTAAAGTGTCTTGAAACTAACATTACTAGCTTCCAGCAAGGATGAACATTTATGAACAAGAGTAAGCAATGTAGCAATAGTTTTCTTTCCCCTCTAAAATATTTTTTCTCATGAAAATTTCTGACTTACAATTGACTATTAAGCTGTATATATGTGGAATTAAGTGACAAATAGCTGCACATACATGCTTTTTAATATAGATCATTTGAACAGCTGGATTAAGTTCTATAGTCACACCTACAATGAGAGCTTACCCTGCAGGGAGAGAAACACAGAAATTACTAGTGTCCAGTAATTATATTCTAAGAACAGTATTAAACACACACACACACACACACACACACACACAAACTTGATGTCCTTTCTATTCATTAGACATAACTTCACAATGCATGGAGCTGGGACACACAAGTGACCTCCATGCTAGCTCCTAGCCAGAGAGGAGACTCATCCGATCAATGACCTGTCTTTTGTTTCCTAGTGAGACTGTCACTCAATATACAAACCTGAATGAAAGGTCAGACAGTTCATCGCATATATGCAACTTCAGTTACTAATACTCAAATACAAGTTAAAAGTGGCTTATGGGGTCATTTCCTGTCACTTTCCCTTTAAAAATAACTCACACTTCAAGGGGCCTGTTGACATAATACAGCACTACTCAACAGTCACTGCTAAGCAGGCATTGTTGTGGAAGGCTTTAACTCAAAAGAAGAATCTACAGCAAGAAACACTTGCTGCTATAGATGTTACTACATGGTTCTACGAGATGCAATAAAACAGGCACAAACGGGGGAAATGATTTCTGAATGTTAGAGAACTGGTGATGATGAGATGAAATGGATCACAAGAAAGCACATTTGATCATCAACTGCAAAATATCGTAAGTCATGCTAACTGCCTCAGCAAGGCCAGCACCATCCCCAATAGGTTAACCCACAGAACAAATCAGAACAAAGAAAAGAGCTGATGGGATTCTGTCTTCTGCTTTCTCCTTGTAAGAATCTACTTCCAGAAAACACTAAAAAGGCAAGTGAGACTGTGCCCTAGCACTTGACCATCAAATCACAATCATATCTACATGCTAAAGTCTACAAGTAACAGGGTGAACCTCATTGTTCTCTGAAGAATCAGGTGGAAAGTATCTGATTTTGGAAGAAAACCAATACAATCTCAACTAATTCTAAAGAGGATCCAAAATAAGAGGAAGTTTCTTAAAAGTTAAAAAGCAATGTCTGTCCCTGTAATTTAACCTCTCATGGTCAGTAGTCCTTGTGAACAAGAAAGGAAAATGAGAAGGTTCTGTGACATAATTAGAAGGTTTAGAAACAAAATGACTGAGGCACCATACTCTAAATAAGCATGAGTCTTCAGCGTCCAGCAAGTACGCACTAATTTCCTGCACAAACTGAAGAGGAGTCAGTTCCCAGCAGATGCTCTGCAGACTACAAGTTAGTCTGTAAGGCTTTCTTTGCAACACAGCCTGGCCCTCCTCATCCTGCTTCTCCATTCCCTTCTTACACATCTCTGTCCTATCACCTAATTCCAATGGCAGCATCTCCCCCGAAGCTTGGGAAGGTTATCTTGCACTAAATAATAGAAAAGTACAAGAACTCCTTGGAGTAAACAGCAGCACACATCCACATACTGCTGTGATCATTTTGAATCTCTACAAATTAGTTGTCTTTTATCACTTGCTGAAGAAACTTCTAAACTACTTATGGTACTTCCAATTGCCTACACCCTCATTCTAAGAATGCTGTGGAAAACCAGACATCCAACACTTCACACACCTCAATAACTTGAGAATCAAGTGTGTGCCTGCAGTAGGGAAGACCAGTCCCCAATGCTAACAGTGATGCTAACAGTCTGTTCAAAAAGTATTTTAAGAAAATACACAATATTAACTTTGTAAAATGACAACATTATGTCTTTTATTATAATGGGTTAAGTATGAGAAATAGCTGTTTGTGATCTTTAAACAACGCACTGGAAAGGATCTTCATTTCAGAGTTTTATTGTGTTGCACTGAAGGAACAGCAGGGTGGTTACACAGTTCTCTCATTCATTTTTGAAAATCTAAAGTACTTGCAAATTCTTAAGAACACCTTGACCACTGAATTAGGACAGTAAGCATAATATAACCAATTTCTTAGTAAATAATGTCTTACAAATAAAAACACATTTAAAATAGCTTTAAATGCATTCTTTACAGGTAATTCAGCATATGCTTATATCACTTATGCTTAAGAATTAAAGCAAGTATATTGATTACTCTGATGGAAAGGAGGGAATTCCCTCTCTCATGCAATACATAGGGATAATGTTCAAGTCAACAGGGAAAGAAATCCCACTCTTCTTATTATGGTGTCCATATACAATCAGCTACAGTGATAAGTGGGGAAACCTACGCTGTATCCCACA